AGTCATTGAATATACTCAAGTAAATGAACACCTGGGAATGGTTTGGCTTTGTTTGAAACTTTTCATCCCCTACCAAAACTAGACAACGTAACTGGCATTACGCCTAAAATGCTACTTAATATGAAGATCTTGTTTATTTAACTGTTGTATAAAATGGCGCTGTTGGTCTGAATATCAGCACAGCTGCGGTCGAATCGCATGATTTTCGGAACACCAGCACTCTTGTTAATGTGATAGGCCCTATATTGCTTAACTGACTCAATGCAGAGGTCTGGATGTTAACACTCTTACTTTTAGTCCACAGTCATCAGTGGATCTGCAGGTGTCCTTTATAGGGCACAGCATGTGCGTTTGTGTGTTTGTGTATTAACACACATCACATGTATTTTGTCAACTGTTCGCAGGACAGATGCTCTCCTTTAATTAAACGGATTGAGGGGGTTAATTAGAAGAACAGAAAAGAACAACGAGGGAAGAGAAGAGAGCTGCTGTTTCTCCTGTGGTGCTGATTCAGCTCTGCCATCTCTCTCTCTCTCTCTCTCTCTCTCTCTCTCTCTCTCTCTCTCTGTCTCATTACAGATATGCTCTGTAGGCACAATCGCACATGTAATGATATGAAAAATGCGCATCTTACTCAAGTTCTACATGTAAAAGGATGGAGATTTTAATTAATATGTGTCCAAAAACAAGAAATGGACTGTAATAACGGGATGTCTTGGTGTACTTGCAACATTTGATTAATGAGGCGAAGTAAAACGCTTATAGGCAGTTGTTTCTCAGATGGTATTATTGCTTTTCTTGGCTTTTGTTCTCTTGTAGAAGCTTTGGCCTCTGTCTTTCTCTCTCTCATAGTGACATTGATCCACTGAGTCTTGATCTTGCTCTGACCTGCTGCCTAGCTCAGCATCTTGCATCCTGGACCCACACAGCCTGTACACACACATACAATCACGTAAACCTTGTGTGTATGCATGCTCTTTCAAATGTTAGCTCAGTAGTTGCAATGATTGATTTGCCCTTTAATACAGAGGGGTTACTACTCTAAGTTGAGAAGAAAATTTGTGCCAGCCTTTTTTAAATACTCCAGGATCATTTTTTTAATGACTTGAACTCTCCCACAGTGGGGTTAACGTTTCTTCTCTTCGTCGCCCCCTCGTGGACATAAAAACAACTGCAGATTCCCTTCCATCAGTCTTCCACCTCCGACGGTCATCATTCCCGCACTCCAAATAAGTTTGTAATGAAAGAGAAACAAAACTGGCATTACATATAGGCAATGGTCGAGGGCATAGGCCTAAGGGTACTTTAATTGAACAATAAATCCTTTTGAAAATTTCAGGACTGGGCAAGTTGACATGCCTTTTAAATGTTAAACATTTATTTACGGTAATCTGATTTTAAATTAATTACAATATTTATTGGCAAAAACAAAGGTTATGATAAAATATTTTTTCATTTACCTTTTACAGTTTTGCTATCTCGTGAATTGTTTTGTTTAATAATTGTTTTACTGTTTGAATTTTGCTCAATAATACGTTTTTTAAAGCTGCTGTAGGTAACTTTTGAAAAAATTTATTTGCTAAAACTGTCATTATGTCCTGACAGTAGAATATGAGACAGATAATCTGTTTAAAAATCAAGCTCCTCTGGCTCCTCCCAGTGGTCCTATTGCCATTTGCAAGAAATACACGCTCCCTGTCAGAAACAACCAATCAGAGCCAGGAGGAATGTCTTAGCAGTGTCAATCACGCTCGTGTACGCGCTGATCACACCCCTCTCTTGCACAGCACGAGCCGTCGTTCAAACTCAAGATTGCCGGCGTGCTGCAGCTGTGCTTATGACGGAGAAACAACCTAAACGGCCAATTCTCGAGTGACACTTGCTCATAAAACAAAGAGGTAAAAGGAAAAAGACTGATGACGATAAACAAGCGAAAAAGTAAGAATTACACAGAGCCCATTGATTCGGTGTCAAAACTCTAGCCGCATAACATGTAGATAAAATGTCACGCACTCTGCTAAGCAACAATTGAAACCTGCTAATTCACTGGCTTTCATGTTGCTGAAAATGTACTAGCACACCTTATCTAGCATTATATATCGCTAGAATAATTACTTACATACTGTAACGTTAGTTACCGTTATATTAACGTTATCTTACTAGCTATTTATAACTTATAGAAAGAGTGCAACGTTATAAAGTTACATGTAGGCTATTGCAAAATACATAATGATTTGAGGACCAAGTTTGTAGTCTGTAGTATGGGCAGGCCTTAGTCATTGTAAAGCATATTATTGACGTTTATTCCCTATTAGTGAATGTGCCATATAACTTTTTATCCGCTGTTATCGGTGGCCCTGTTTACTAGCCTGCGCGTTCACGACAGGCTCCGCTGTGGAGGACGGGCTGTGGAGGGAGGGCTGTGGAGGGAGGGCTGTAGCGCAGCAGAGAGCAAGGGGGTGGGACCTGTAAGTTCTGCTTGTTCAAATTTTTTAGGCTAATTCAACGTTTCCTCAAAACTTCCTACTGCAGCTTTAATGGCAGATTTCGTTGTGACAACTAGGCTACTCATTAGACCTTAGTCAGGGAGGTAGCACTATTTCATTTTTGACATGAACGAAAAGGAGGCTTTGAGGGATAGGCTACATTTGTTCAATGGATTGTGCTGGTTTCTAACAACATGCCGATTGTTCAGCTGACGAAATGTCTTCCCGGAAAAAAAAGAAAGAAAAAATGTCAGTAGACAACAACTTTACAAAACAGTTTTAAAAGTTGTGTGTTGTGACATGGCCTTTGAGTGCCATAAAGAATGTAGGCTACGTAGGATATCTTTAACAGCCTCGTTTGCATCCGTGTTAAATTTATGGCATCTGATATGCCCTAGGCCTACTATTGGTCAACAAATATTCAATGAAGAGTAGATTTCCTTTATTTGGCCATTAAAGGGATCGTTCACCCAAAAATGGAAATTTACTCATCCTCATGTTGTTTCAAACCTGTGTGAATTTATTTCTTCTGCTGAACACAAAATAATTTATTTTGAAGAATGTTGGTAACCAGACAGTTGATGGGCCCCATTGACTTAGTTTCGGTGAAAAGTGAAACGTTCCAAAAGTGTGACGGCCCTCCGGATTTCCCTCTTGGGACTGGTGCAAACAGTGTAAGAAGAAGAGGCACATAACATCGATGAGCAAGTTACATTTTTGCTGTAGTACAAATAAGTAAATGGTGGTAAATAATTTTATTGAGAGAAAAAAGGCTAGCACATTGCTGCAATAAAATCTTTATTTTTTAGGTTTAGGTTTCCTTGGTGTTTACACATGGTAAGCACATGGTGTTGAATGGATGAATGTGTGCAGATGGGTGTGACGTGATATAGCCTGTACTACAGAAAGAAAAAGAAAAAACATTGCTTACACGCCATCATTTGCATTTAAAAGTCAGTAGTGAGACGGAGGAATAGAATGAGAGGAGTGAGTGAGTGAGGATCAGAGACGAGTGTGAAGTGGGAGCTGCGTTAATGCAGCATGTTTGATCTTCATTTAATAATTGAATAATAATCTCCCAGGAGAAGTGACCTAGAACCGAGGAAAATAAATTGATATTCATTTGCACATCTAAATACTGACACCTGCTGGCCAGACGTCATTATGGCAATAATCCCATCATTGAGAGCCCGCTGAGTGAGTTTCACTCCATCCTCTCGGCGTCTACTGGTGTGACATTGACAAACGAGTGCAGTGAAGAAGGGACCGCGCTTGTGTTTTGAATCCTGACACTTGCAGTGCAACTTTTCCAACCTGCAGTAAGACTGGCCCCGCGAGAGCTGCATGCACTCGCTGTTCATATACAGTAGGCCTACGTTGCGTTACGCGCGCTTTCATCAGACACAGTCTTGGAATGGTAAGACTCATTGTCAATACAGCTGCGCACTGGAGCGGTATAACAATATATTACTACAGGTCCCAACACAGCCATCACTCTCGTCTATCCCTTCTTCATGCTCACCTTCACTCTATCTCTCAGGCCCGAGGGAGCTTCCCCCGAAATGCAAATGTCTGATACAAGCTTGCACTGATTATGTCTGAACTTCAGCCAAAGAAAATGCATCCATCATCGTGTGAAAACTTATTTGTCCTCCTTTAACCTTGAATGAAAAGGAAAGACGTGTGTGTGTGTGTGTGTGTGTGTGTGTGTGTGTGTGTGTGTGTGTGTGTGATGATTTACAAAACCGCTACCTGCTTTGCTCTGATGTGTAATCTGCTGTAAATGTAAATAATGTATAATCTATTAAAAAAAAAAAGTAAATGAGCTCCACTTAGATCACTGGATCAAGGTCACATGGGGCTGAAAATAACTATTTTTTTGCTTTTCATTTTGTATGAATGTGAAATCAGCTGCACCTGACCTCTTGCTATTTTAAATCAGATGTGCTTGACTGATTCTTGATTTGAGGGCATTTAGTTGTTCTCACATTCAGCTTGGCTATTTATCATAGAAATATGCAGAGAGTTTTCATGGCAAAAGTTTGTTTAACACGGATGAATGAATTCAAGGAGCAAATTTTCATTACGCAAAAATGCAGGTTTATTCTCATCATTTTAGTGCATGTTATCACTTCAAGAAAACCAATACAAAAAAACAGAAAGTGAAAATATTTATATATATACAAAATATAACGCTGAACATAATGATGTATGAACCGTTTATGTTCATTTATGGTTTGACAAATTTACAGAGAGGTTTGGAAATTTGAGTCTGGAAAAGTGGAATTTTAAAGTTGAAAATGTGTTGGAACCCTGTTAAAAGATTGGTGACTGGTCACAGCACCACACATATACACTTTCCTTTCGTCATTTATGTAAATTAGCACTCTTTTTTTTTCTTCTTTTTTTTTTGTTTTTTTGCATTGCTTGGTGAATGTATGGGTAAATGGATACATTTAATTGATAATTTTTGAGCAAGAATTGACACTAATGTGTGTTTCTCTGTGTCATCAGACTTCGTAAGGAGGGCTACACTGTGCAGGTGAATGTCAATGACTATCTGGATATCTACTGTCCTCACTATAACAGCAGCCAGAGAGGTGTCGCTGAGCAGTACGTGCTCTACATGGTCAGTTATCGTGGTTACCGTACGTGTGACCCGCAGCTGGGCTTCAAACGCTGGGAGTGTAACCGCCCCCATGCCCCGCATGCCCCAATCAAGTTCTCGGAAAAGTTTCAGCGCTACAGCGCCTTCTCGCTCGGCTATGAGTTCCACGTTGGGCATGAATATTATTATATCTGTGAGTATAGTGTTTTTTTAACACAGCTATTTACATGACTGTATTATAGTATATGAATGTTAGACATGTCAAAGAAAGAAAAACATATATTCTGCTTAAAAAAAGGTTATTTTTTTGGAATTACAACATTATTTTAATAACAATTAAGTACATCATCCCCCTCCCCAAATTGTCATTATTATGTGAATATTAATTTAAATTTGTTGCCCTGCCTTTAATATATGTTGATTTTCAAATAATAATAGAAATCATTGTATTTAAATGTATTATATATATTTTTAACTATAAAGTTCATAAATCGGTGTATTTACATGTAATATACAGTAAGTGCATAATAATCCACATTTAAGTACTATTATATTTACATACACAATGCTAACAATAAACTGTTGTATGTTGTATGCTTGCATTGTCATACAAGTTACCATTTACATAGTACAAGCTTTTTTTTAGATACTAGATAGTATTACTTATTTAAAGCTTTTCTGTGTTTAATATTGCAGACAATTTTCCAGAATATTACAGTATTTCGGATGACTGACAGATGATTGACATTTTCTTGTTTTTTTAGCCACACCCACTCATCACCACGGGCGGAGCTGCCTGAGATTAAGAGTGTATGTCTGCTGCTCAACAGGTATCGACCTCTATCCATCCATCCATCATTCCATCATACATCCATCCATCAACTCATCATTTCATCCATCCATCCAACCATTCTATTTTTCAGTCAATTGATCCACCTGTCCACCCACCTCAATCCAGTTTTCTTTAACTCTACTATCTGTCTTTCTGAGGATTTAATCAATCTGTTTACACAGAAAGCACACTCTCTCCCTTTCTTTCCCAACTAGGTTTCATGTCTTAATATTGTTTTGTTTTTTTGGCACTACAGTGATTCCAACCAGGGATACGCGTACCTCAGGGTGTACTTGAAAAGATTTTGACTTTACTTCGTTAAACTAATACCATTCGAAAGTCAGTAAGTTTATTTTTTTAAAGAAATGAATACTTTTATTCAGCAAGAATGCATTAAATCGATTAAAGTGACAGAAATATTTTGTAGCAGCATACATTTCTTTACTATTTCAAATAAATGCTGTTATTTTTAACAATCTTTTCATCAAAGAATCATGAAAAAATCTATCACTGTTTCTACAAAAATATTAAGCAGCACAACTTGATAATAGTAAGATCAAAGTAAGAAATGTTTCTTGAGCAGCAAATCCGCTTATTTGACTGATTTCTGAAGGATCATATGACACTGGAGACTGGAGTAAGGATGCTGAAAAATTCAGCTTTGCATTCACAGGAATAAATTATCATTTAAAATATAATAAAATAAAATAAAGTTGTAATAATATTTTTTACTCTTTTTACTCTATATTTGATCGAGTGAATGCAGCCTTGGTCAGCATAGAGACTTCTTTGGAAAACATTAACAAAATGTACCCTAAATTTATGAAGTAGTGTATTTAACCAAAATTGTCACTTATTAAAAGATTCAAATAAAAAAAAATATATTATGGAGCCCTGCATGACATCATTATATAATAAAATATAACAAATTAAGATTTTGTTGAATTGTTTTAGCTCAATCGTGGGCATGAATTAATACATTTGTTCCACACTTATTCATATATTCCCTCGTTTTAGTAAATCGTGGCCACATTGTACTAATTTATTCCCCCGTTTTAATTTATATCGTTGCCATGATTTAACTAAAATGAGGGAATGAATTTGTGGCTGCGATATATATATATATTTTCTCTTGCATGTCATGTGTGGGTCTCTGTAAATTATAATTTCTTTTTATTTAAAATGTCTTGCCCAATTGAAACAATATCAAGCTGAATTCAGTTAAAAACTAAGATTATATAAGACAAAAACAAAGATTGGGAAACACTGCTATAAACCATTCTATTGCTCCACCTCTGTTATTTATTCCCTCTCTCTTGTTTCCAGGTCCTGTCAGAATTCATGTTCTCTCAAAGTCAGTTTGCTGGCACTGAGTGTTATTTTAACCCCTCACCCTCTCTTTCTGTCACTGCTCATGTTCATTAATAATATTCCAGCTCAGTGTATGTATGTGTGTGTGTGTGTGTGTGTGTGTGTGTGTGTGTGTGTGTGTGTGTGTGTGTGAGAGAGAGAGAGAGAGCATACTGTGTGCTGTCTTAACCTCTGCCCTCTATCTTGGAGTCTCTGAGTTCTTGTGTCAAGATGAATCTGTTATTCTTGCTCAGCCAGGTCTGAACTCCAGTGCCTTGAGATCAAACGGCTGAAGCAGGGCTGATGTATTTATCAGGATGTGGAAAACTACTAATGAGCTGATGAGTTGAGTCAGGTGTGTTAGATTAGAGAGATAACATGTGCAGCTATGGGGGGCATTTAAAGGCCCGCCGACGTGCCTCGAAACTCGCAGCATTATCCAATGACATGTGTTGACGTAATTTTCATTGAAACAGGAAGACAGGGCGGGACATATCGAACAGCTCCTTCCTTTTTTAAAATAACCAATAGCGTTTTGTTTATATCACAGCTCGCCTAGAGCCGTTGAGATAGCGAAAGCCGCAGTTTCTTCAATCTCTAACCGTTTCTCCTCCTAATCTCCTCCACACTGCTTTAAAATATAGCATTCTGTGCAGAATTCAAATGGGTCCGATATGTTTTCTGGTATGCACCAACTTGCACATATGATCGCTCATAAGAAAATCTGATGAGAAGCTGAAGTGCAGAATGATGTCATCAAAATCATTGATCCATATTGGCGGAAATGAAAAACTGTAAGTTTTGAATGCTTATATCTTCTAAATGCGGATTTTGCCATTGTTTTGGAGCATACTGGCTTATAGATTACCTTAAGACTAACATATTCATGCTATAAGCCAAATAACTAAAAATGGGGACCACCATGAAACCAAGATAAGTAAAAAAAAAAAAGCGTATACCTTCTGAGTTAAAAAAGAAGGAAACAAAATGCAGTAGTTTTCCAATGCATTTTTTAAATGTTGGATTTAAACACAACGCTTGTTATGGGACACTTAAAGAAATTGGCCATGCAACTTTTCTGTAAGGGTTTTTAATTTTTGCTAAATTAAAGCAACGCTAAATACCAAAGCTAAAACGATAATAATAAAATATTATTTCAAAATATTAATTGGATTTCTCACAGTACATTTGTTCTGAAGGAAAAACAATTATTAAATATTAATTAATAATTAAATATTCAAATATTATCTGACAATTTTTTTCTTTCTGTTAAGCAGAATGTATTTTTGTCTACCAACTAAGAATTTTACAATAAATACCTAGAAATATTAAAATAATATAGTTTCAAAGCAGATTAACAGGTAATAACCCAAACTATTCTTGAAAGATATATTTGGGTTTTCTTTTTTTTCCACAAAACTATATGCAGATTATTATTATTATTATTATTATTTTACTGTTAAAATTATTTAATAAAAAATATTAATTACCGGTAATCATAATTTTCTGTAAAAAATGTGAAATTAAATAAAAATTGACATTGTCATCATTTTGATAGCCCTAAAAAATTCTTAACAAATTTTCCTTGGGTCCCCTAGTGCTCACTGGTGGGACCCCAGTTAATCCCTTGACTGTTGATAATTGTTAGTTGTTAGACAAGTTGTCGACTAGTAGACCATTGTTTCGTGATTTATAACGCATCCCTTTGATGTAAGTAGCCTCCATCCAGTCCAGTGCTGTATGACCTGGAGGAGCTTACAAATAAATTCCCAAGGCCTTTGAGAGCATGTATAAGATCCTTCAGAGAGAGGGGAGAGTGTGTGTTCTGATTCTCCTTTCATGTCTTCCCAGCATCTGATTCAGATGATGAGCCCCAGCCCACAGAGCCAGACTACACTCTAAGACCTAACATCAAAATCGATGACCTCGGTGAGTTACGCACACACCAGACGGACCACACCGACACTTATACATATGCATATAAATCACTGACTAAGTTGACATTTACACCCAAGGTTTCTACGCCCAGATCTTTGGCATCCACACGCCTCTTTCGTATTTACACAGCAAGCTCATAAATCACGCGTGTGCGTGTAAGAGCGGATTTATTGTTATAAATCAAATTGGGTGTGAAGTTAAGAAGCTAAATCCACTTCATGTCATTTGAATGTGTAATAAAAGATGAGATCAACTTTTGATGAGATTTGCTTTTCCTGCCACACGGCGTATACCAAACAAACACAGTAGCCTATATCTGCTAACACGCATCTTATGGGCAATGACTGACACTAATGAAGCCACAAGCTAAAAGGCAAACGAAGCGTGAGCTGCCTGGCTATAGTTAGCTTGATTAGCGCCTAGGCTAGTGTTAGCGCTGATTAGCAGTGGCAGAACTAGCCCTCCAGTTCCCAGTACAGTCACATCCTGCACTTCCTCACCACCGCACGCGGTAACCTGACTCAAGGACAGCGGCGACCGCACCATTTAAATGAGAGAAAATAAATTGATTTGACTTCAAGTGTTTTTAAGGAATAAAGAGGCATCGATCTGTTCGTGTTTTTTTCTGAGCGTGTGTTTTGAGACAGATGGATGTGGATGTGTTTTGGGTCGTCTCTGGGTCAGAGCCACCCAACGATTTCCAATAACTGGAATCTGAGTACCGGCTCTCTCCCGCTTGCTCCGATCAGGGGTTCAGTTTTCAAACAGGCCAGAGAGGGGAAGAGAACAACCGCAAGAGGCCAGCTGGGTCTCAGGAAGCCACACATCTCAGTACTGCTCCATACATCTGTGTCCAATAGACAAAAGAAACCCTCTCACTGCTGTCCTATTAGTATTGACCAACTTAAAAAAAACAATGGAAATTATACATTCCTAAAGTTGTGCACTTCTACAAACAAATCAAAAGTTACTCACAAAACTGCCACATTAAACTCTAGAATGCTCCAAATGCTTTTAAAATAAAAGAAAAAAATACATAAGCACTTACTAATTTAAATAAAATTGGATTCTGAAGTCGTTAGAAACATAAATTCTCATTTGCAGGATTCTTAATGTCAGTTCTGTAAATCTGCTGGAGCAGATAGTCCCATTAATGGCAGTGTGTTTTACGGTACGAAAGGAATTCATGATATTAGTACAGAGCGACTCGCACAAACACGCAGGCAATCACAAATACAGATGCAAGAAACACAAAGGCAACTTTTATTTGGCCTTTGGGGAATAATAGAGAGCAAGAAGAAGATGTGTGTGGCATTGTGCTCATACCATTCTCTTTATATGCTTTTTCTAACAATAAAAACAAACCATTTCCTGCTTGTATTAAGGAATATTGGCTAATTTATCAGTTAATGCAAAAGACATCCTACACTAACAATGAACAATACTTTTACAGCATTTATTAATCTAAAATAGAATTCGTTTGTATATATACACCACCTTTCAAAGGTTTGGTGACTATGTGCATTTTTATTAAATGTTTTTTTAAGTCTCTTATGCTCACCAAGGCTGCTTTTTTATCAAAAATACAATAAAAACGGTAATATTATGAAATGATTACGATTTAAAATAGCTGTTGAAAAAAACATTTTAATTTTAAAATGCAATTTAATCATGTAATGCAAAGCTAATAAATATGCTGATTTGGTGCTCAAGAAACATTTATTCCCTTTTTTATTCGTTTATTTATTTATTTATTAATTATTACTGTTGAAAACAGTTGTTCTGCTTAATATTTTTGTGGAAACATGATCATTTTTTTCAGGATTCTTTGCTGAATATATAAAGTTCAAAAGAACTGCATTTATGTGAAATATCGTTTTTTTTGTAACAATATAAAAATATGTACTGTATCTTTTGATCAGTTTAATGTGTCTTTGCTGAATGTATCTATATTTTTAACATTTTGTCGTAGAAATCAACGTTAGCTAATGTATAAACAAACTTGAATTAACAATGAACATCAGTTTATTTATTGACATTAACCCAAATTAATGAATGCTGTAAAATTGTTGTAAATTGTTTTTTATACCTGAATACAAACTTAAACTTATGTTAGCCATTTGAACCTTATTGTACAGTGTTAGTACAATATTATATCTGATGCAAAGTTCTTTGTGTTCCGTAATGTGAGATTCGACTTCCCGTTCAGGTCACTGATAGGACAAGGTCATCAAACATTTCTGTAATCCATTCTCCAAACGAAAAACAACTTCACAAAGTCGGATGACACAACACAGTACAAATTCAAGCAAACTGACAAGCTGTAGACATCTATTCTTCCAGGTCATGTGATTGTATCTGGCCCGAGTTGTGGATGTTGGCACAGAGTGTTGAATTCCAGCAGGTAAACATGTTCCAGAACATCCCACACAGCTCTTCTCTCCTGCCTGGCATCCAAGGACTCCTGTCAATCAAACATTGCCCTGCCATAGTGGTTATAATGCACTTTATTTGCACAGTGACTTGTACACTTTTAATATTGACGGATATTATTTAACACAAAACTTTATTAAAAGGAATATAAAAAGCAAAAAATACAGACTATAGAAACGGATTTAAACAAGAATGATAATAATATTAAGTCTCATAGTTAAATACTGTTGTGATTCAAATGTTCATTTAATGCTATCTGCGTAAAAAGGTGATAAAAGGAAAATTAGCACCCCCGATGTCTCTGGAAAAACTGTCACATCCTTTGTCTGAGTGGTGTAACATCATATTATTCTGTCAAAAACACACTCACTTAATGTGTGCGTGTCTGGAGATGTTTTTTTGTTTTTTTTTTGGCAACTAATTTGCGTCACACACTGTTCCTTTTCACCTGTAAGTGAAGACGTGTGTTTATAAACTTGTGTCCCTGAGCTGGAAGACACCCGCTCGCAGTCGCAGACACCAGCAAACCGGTTATGTTAGATGTTCGTCTCCGTTGATGATGTTGCAAAATTCCATCGATTATTTGGGCACATCGGACATTCCTCTTGTAGCTGATAATAGTTACATTTTAGTCTCTGTTGTGTTCACAATGAAGCTTGTCTGCTCCACACAAACACAGACATCTTCAGAGCATACCTGGCTGAGTCAACACGTTTTATTTTGAACTCCTTCCCTTAGGCCTCAGCTGGTTTTCTATACCTTAGTGAGTCACGCAACAATGGTGTCTAGACCAGCTGGTAATTTTGATCTGTCTGTCTGTCTCTAGATGACTATGATAATCCCGAGGTCCCTAAATTGGAGAAGAGCATCAGCGGTAGCAGTCCATCCAGAGATCGCCTTCTCCTAACCGTGGCATCACTTTTCTTCATCGCCCTCTCTGTCTCCTAGCATCCACCTTCTATCCGTCACCACACCAACGAGGCCTTGGGGGGAGGGGGGAAAGGGAGGATCCAGGGCCGATAAGTTTGCCACTAAAAACTGGGAAAGGAACAGGAAATAAATGGAACACTTGACGCTGCAGCAGCTTACGAAGTGTCAAGCACCAGCCCACAATTCAACAGTTGTTTTCATGCGACATAGTTTTCATGTCGTGCAGACGATACTACAGATTTGAACACCATAATGAGTACTATGCCATTTCGGTTTCAATAGTGCAGATTGTATGTGTGTGTGTGTGTGTGTTTATGTGTTTGTGTGGCGCCTTTGGTGCTTGGGGGCGGAGTGGATCGTTCCTTCGCTGTGAAGGTTTGATGGCTCCATTATCTGTGAATTGGCAGGTTAAGAGTTTAAAAGCGTCTCAGATTCTGTTTGATGAGATCTGAAAATGAAACCGTCGAGGAGCTCAGGTTACTCTTCGCTCGAACCCGGAAAAATATCTGAACCACCGTTTAATCCAATTCCAAAAGTGTTTGTTTCTCTCTGTGTGTTTCTGTTGCCAGAGAGACGTACAAACCGCTGGATGATCATGTAATTGCCGTCAGGGATGAACAGCAATATTCATTTGATGAGTTTAAACAAGTCTATAATAGAAATCTCAAAGACTCGAAATCAGTTCATTTTGTACTTTTTTTATTGACGAGGCGACAATTTATAAAGCGTTAAAAAAATCCAATTACATCTGATTCTTATTTGAACGTATCATGGTCACACATGAAAGCAGGGGCCGATATGGTTGTTCTGTGATGCAGAAAATTGAGAAAGAAGTGATTTCGCACGAACGCCTGCACAAACGCATTAAACACAATGAGACAAAAAGAAGCCAAATAGCTTTTTGTTGTTGTTTTCTTTCCTTCTTCCTTTTGATAAAAGGTGCTTTAAGAGTGAGTGAGTGAGTGAGTGAGTGAGTGAGACAGTGAGTGAGAATGTGTGTGTGAGAGAGCGTGTGTGTGTGTGTGTGTGAGACTGAGTGGGTGGGTGAGTGTCTGAGAGAGCAAGTAAGTGAGTGTGTGAGTGCATTAGCTCAGTGATGCTGGAATAATCTCCTCTAGACTTTATGGACTTGAACAGGAGATGGACACCTACACAGACACTGTACATAAAACACATGCATTTATTTATGTGTGGACATTGTGGACGATCTCCGCTCACCACACTGATACCCGCTGGATTCGGAAGAACTCCAAACCATCCTCAGCGGGATTGTTCCAGTTCGAACCGGTTGTCACTGCTTGCTACTTGACTTCTTTCGGTGGTGATGATCAGCAAGACCAAATGGAAATTGAGGGGTCTGGTGGTTATAATCTGTTTCTACGGCAACAGTTATTCAGCTATACACACACCTAAAGGCACTAGAGTCCAGCAGGACATCAGAACAACACACACGAAAAGAAATAACAGCAATTACTGGCAACATTTCTAGTGACACTTTTGCCAAGAGTAATACAAGCACACAAATGCTTCTGGGCGGGTAGTTATTGCATTCTTACAAGCTTTTCAAGGGATAAACGGCAGTGTATGCATTAATCATTTTACAACAAGGTTCAAAATTAAGGTTCTAACTCTTTTTACATAGAACCTTATCATGGTGGTAACGACGACATCATATCATGGCTCATGATAATAGCAACCAGCGCTGCTTCTCGCTCTAGAGACATGCAAATACTGCTTAAACTAGCAAAGGCATGTGGTTTAGGAGAAATTATGTGTGGTAGAGGTTTTCTAACTTAGATTCATAATGGACACCTTCTCTCACACCTACAGGCTGTCTTTAAACAATTGATAAAGCCGTTAATTGTATCATTCTGCTATTGCTCTGAAAAATCATTTCAGTTTATGTGGAACATTACGTCTGCTTTATATTCCATTACTACGGCTGCTGTGGGTTCACCGATTTAGAGCAACTTCAGAACAAACTGAACACTAATTTGAATGCTCTGAATGATAATTTACAGACTTGAATCTACATTTAATTTGTTTCATGTTGTCTTCAAAGTCGTTGGGTTGAGGATAAGTAGTTTTTTGTGCATTTGGGTTTCGGGGGTTCGTTTTTTTTTTCAGATGGAAAAATGTAATATTTCAGAAGAGTGGATCAGGCAAAGTATCACTCTTCAAATGTTGCACTTACAAAAGCTTGGACACGAGAATTGTTTGTGTGTGTGCGTGTGTGTTAGACTGCAATTGTTAGAACTTGATGTTTGTTTTAAAACTAGCCTAAATTACCTTTCAGTGTGTGTGTGTGTGTGTGTACGAAAGAATGAGAGATCAAAAGGTAATAAAGCTAGAGGACGGTGTGAATGCGTGTGTTTATGCAAGCTGTTTTCCATTGTTTAGTCTAGGCATTTTCTGTGTGAGTGGGTGCGAGTCAAAGAAACTGTATTGTTTTGGAGGAAACAACAAAAGCATTTATTAGTGTTGGAAACAACCAATTACAATCATGTTTACCTTCAACTGGAATGAATTTAAAGAACTTGAAAAAAGAAATTGTAAACTGAACAAACCATAACAAAGCTTATAATAATAATAATCATGCTAAAAAAAAAAACCAAGCCTTTGATTCATATTTGTTACACAACAACACAGTTTATGAACTCGTCTGTTTGGGTATTGAAATGTCCTTCTGAATTTGATCACTGTCAGATGAAACCAAAGGACTAAATCTAATGAGAGTAGCCTACACAAACATTATCTCCCCCTCACTCTGATTCCCCATCGGCAAATAAAATGTAGTTTCAGGTTTCCCACTGCTGTCATCAAAAACAAGCCATACTTTTCCAATCTTGTAATCTCTTGTATTTTGTTCACTCTATCGTCTCTTTTGAGTCTATTATCATAGTGTTGGTTATCTCTGCGCAGTGTGTGAGAAGCAAGCAGCCCAAAGATGAAAGGATTACTATCAGAGGCCGACCTGATGCTGGGACCCTCTTATCTAATCACTTCTTCGTGAAGATATTTCTACATATCAATCGACATTGCGGAGCTTGGCATGTCACTTTTTAAAAATAAGACCCATCCAAGCAATTTTTACATCCTGTGCAATCTTTCTTGGGCCAACTTATAACTACATAATTGTCTGTGTGCAAGATTAGCCTACTTTACCAGTTTATTTATGTATACAAAATTATGTACAAATTCTTATTTTTTTTTTTTTAAACAATACAATAAAATAATTATAAATGCAATTAATATCATAAATTCCAACCAGCCTTTTGAAAGCAGAATGAAAATTTACACAGTAGGCCTCAATAATCAATTCAATAAGTGTTTTTGTATTTATTTATTTATTTTCTAGTTATTTAGTTGAGTTATAGTAATTTGCTTTATTTCTAACATTAATTTAGACTGCACTAAAAATATATTTGATAAAATACTACAATATAAAATAATAACGGGGGGGGGGGGGGGGGGGGGGGGGGCTTGGGGGGGGCACAGAAATCTTCATTATTTTAACATAAAAACTAAGTTTGATTAATGTATTGGACTGTTTTAGTGCCTGAACAAACTGAATACATTAATTTGTACTTAATTGTAATGAGATGGTAAGTGCATAGATCATGGGATACTGAGTAACGTCTCAACAAACAACTTTATCGGCCCTGTGTGGAGGCTAATATAGTTATCGATTAGTGTGGACGGGCCTAACTCTAATCATAGTTACAGAATAGATGTTGCTAAACTGAATTAGCATGCAATAATTATATTTCTCTCATCTTAATAGAGTGGCGTTTGATTCGGCGCTACGTGTTGAGACACAAACTTGTATAGCCTATGATGACTGACGTTCCGTTAATGACTCTCTGTGGCTTGGCGCGTGAGTAACCCGTCTGAACACCCTGTAACAATAACGGCGATTGATCGGATCCAGCAGAGTCAGACACCCGCTGCTTTGTGCTACCGGCCACACCGAGCAGACGCTGACTTCATCTGCTGTGGGAACAGGACAAAGACGCCTCGTTAAATCAAATGATGGAGCTAATGAGTAAAATTCCCCATGAAAGTAGACCACCAGTATAATGGCGTAGACATGCCCAACAATTAACTGAACATCTGCAGTGAGTATTAGTGCATGTAGGAAAACCTCAGTAACAAAAAAGTTAAAACAAATAAATACCTGCAAAGTTTAGTAAAGGGAGTCAATCAGCATCTCCCTGTTGGTTAAATTCACGATTTAGTCACGAATGACGATTCTTTTTATTTAATTTTTTAATGAAATATTATTGCAGTAGGCCTACAATTAATGTGCTCTCGTTGATCGCTGCAATAGCAGGACAATGTGTCACTCACATGAGATCACAATAGCAAACCACAACAACGATCCAATCAATTCAAGATGGACAAAATCAAGTCCAGCCCTACATCTTTTAGCCGTTTACATATAGGCCTACATCGAGGGCCTATATGTAGTTTCACGCGGATATATCACGTTTCGGAAGAAAAGACTATCGCAGCTTCTGTTTCATGTCGACTTTAATCGCTCAGCTGCCGCAGGAACTAGCAGAAGTAGCCTACACAACCTGGTCCTGGAGGTAGGCCTAACTATCTTTGCTCATAGGCAGTCAGTTCTGGTATCAGACAAGAAGATATATCCCCCCTCAATGCCTAATCAAAAACGTATCGTGTTCTACGAATGAAAAGAGCACAATGCTGTTACCTCACTAATCAAAGGCTAACTGAAAACACAATGAAAGTAAACCATTATGGTGACAATCTTAGCTTCATAATGTAATGTGATGTAGGCCTATCCATTTTAGGCTTTTAAAAGATTTGAACAAAAAGCAAATGTTTATTGGTAAAATGTGATATAGCAAGGGCAAAAATCCAAAATTAAATTTACAAACAATCCAAGTTGGCTTTCATTGAACCTATTCAACACACCTTTTTTTTCTTCCATACAAAAAAAAAAAAACAGCAAAACTTTAGAAAAGATTCTTTCAAAGCAAAACTCATAAAAACAAGGTACCTCTCTCTGGCCTGAAGGTCAGTACTCCACAAATGTTTCAAAGGGTATATTGAAAGTAGCTCTTTATTTTAAGGGGCAGCAATAAACAATGTACAACTGAAAAATTCCCTCTAATGAAAATAAAATGTCAAATAAGACAGTGTAACGGTAACATTGTCTCCATTTACATGA